TGAAAACTATGTTCTGAACCATATTTGCAACTTCTGACTGCGCTTGCGTGAAGGCTGACTCAGAAGTTCTGAAGTATCACATTCTCTTAACACTTAGAAATTTTTTCAAATGTTTAGAAATTTGATTTTTTTTCAAAGTAATTTATGACTTCTGATTTTGATGAACTAGTTTCATGTCTTGATGAAATATAATTGTTGAAACTTGATTTTTGATTTAAAAGTCAAAGTTTGACTTTTTCAGTGTGCTTTTGACCATTTTGCCCTTGTGAGTGATTTTCTTAAAAAATTGTAATTCAAGGCTTGAAACTTGATAGCAGCAAACCTGAGAATCCATGATGATCCTTTGAGAAATGAGAGGATAAATTTTAGAGTACAACAGCTTGCCTCTTCGACTTTGCCGTCACCTCTGTTCAAACTTCTCATTTCTAATTCCAGGATGGAGCACATATTATATTTCCCCTTTTATAATCATCAAAAAGAGGGAAAACAAATAATCACAAGAGAAGGAAAATAGAGCAAAATAGTTAGAAACTATTCATATATAAAGGAGATGATTTACTAGATAAAAACGAAGAAAGAAAAAGCACATAAATACACATTTGAAAAGGACACAAGACTATACTTCTCCCCACGGTTAGAGCCATCTAACTTTGAGACTGTTTATTAAGCAGAAGTCTTTGTTGACCTTTGGAATTAGTTTTAGACTTTATGTATGCATTTGGATCGTTTTGCATATTTTCTTTTACTAATATTTAAACGGTACTTGATTCTTATTTCTTCTACCGACTCATATTTTCATCTTTGATGTAGAATTTGAAATTTCTTTTTGCATTTCACATTCCTTAAATACCTCGTTAATATGCTAATTTGTTTAAGTATACTCTCTCCTTTTGAAATATTTTCTTATATTATTCGTCAAAATGATGATCTTCCGAGGTTGTCTATTTTTTAGATTTGTTCTTTCTTATTTTTGTCTTTATCTTCTAAGATGTATTTCTTAGAATACCCGCAAAAACAATTATATCTCTACCACAAAAATGGAGTTAATTTCATTAAAGGTATCGGTGAAGAATTCTTCTATATTTATGATATTTTTATAATTTAAAAAAGTTTTAATAGAGAAAAAATAGATTTGTTTTATGAGTTTTAATGATCTTGCATATAAAAGAAATAAACCATACTATATTACATTTGTCTCATAATTTACTTGATATTAATTAAATTGTGTTATAAACTTTCAAGAATCAAAACATCTCAAAACTTAAGAGTAAAGATTTTTAAAATGAAAAATCAAAACTTAAAAATAATAATAATGAGATAAAAGCACATTTAACTTGTGGAGACACTAAACATCTTTCTCAATACCAGATCACACAACAACCCAAAATCGAACTTCCCTGCCTTTTCATATTCCTCTCTGAAATCACAACATGAAGTTCACAGACTCGCCGGTAATCGAACTCCCCGTCGCCAACAACACCCTCTCTCTCCACCAAAACAACGGCTCCATGCACGTCGGAACCTCCGTATGGCCTTGCTCCCTCGTCCTCGTCAAATTCGTCGACCGCTGGATCCACTCCCCACCCGACAACAACCCTTACACCCACCTCCTAAACTTCCCAGACAAACGCGCCGTCGAACTCGGCTGCGGCTGCGGCGTCGCCGGTATGGGCCTCTTTCTACTGGGCCTAACAGACATAATCCTCACCGACATCTCTCCCGTGATGCCCGCTCTGAAGAAGAATCTTAAGGTTAACAAACCTGTACTCAAGAAGAATCTCAAATACTCGGTTCTTTACTGGAATAATGGTTCACAGATTAATGCTCTCAACCCCCCGTTTGATTTTGTTGTTGCGGCGGATGTTGTTTATATTGAGGAATCGGTTCCAGAGTTTGTTTCTGCCATGGAAGCGTTGCTTGCTGAAGATGGTGTTGTTTTGCTTGGGTATCAGATTAGGTCACCTGAGGCTCATGTGCTTTTTTGGGAAATGTGTGGTCGGGTTTTTGATCTTGAGAAAGTTCCTCATGAGCATCTTCATCCTGAGTATGCCTATGAGGAAGCTGATGTTTATTTGTTGAGGAAAAAGAAGAAGCAATGATCATGGTAAGGTTTTAATAATCATGTTGCTTTACAACAAATTTGTGTTTTTAATATTCTGTGTTATTTTCTATGCAAAAACAACATGTTGTGATGATTAGTATTCTCAATGTTGATAGTGGAAAAATAACAGTTTGTTCAAATTTTGCTTCCAACTATCGAATTTAAGTTGAGTGGCTGAAATCGAGGAGGACTTCAGGGGTTTTATGTCACACAAAGATACCGTTCAAACTGAAAGCGGTAAGACTTGCGTTATAAGACTAGACATGATAAGATTATAAATGACAATATTAGAGAGAGTGTTGGGGTAACACTTATAATACAAAAGATGGTGGAAAATAGACTTTGATGGTTTGGGCATATATAGACAAGACGGAAAGAAGTCAAACAACTTGACTTAGAGGAAGATTTAGAAAAACTATAAGAGAAGTTATTAAGAAAAATCTCGAGATTAACAATTTGGATAGAAGAGCGGTTTTTGATAGAACATTATGAATGGCTAAAGTTGATTCATGTAGCCAGCCCCACTTAATGGGATAAGACATGGTTGTTGTTGTCGTTGTCGTTGTAGCTGCTATTTGACACCATTTTATACTAGATAGTAGTGTATCGTGGAACCAGTGATTTGTTCAAATTCGGCTAAGCTATTTCCGTTAGTTAACGACACTTGTGGTAATGATTTGATTAATCAAGTGATTTATAGCATCTTCTATTTTGGAGTAAATATATGAATTCAGTTTAAAAAAAGATGCTAGCTGTGTTGTTTTAGTTTCTAATGTACAAACTTTTGGCTAAAGTTATAGCTAGTTTATTACATTATTAGGGTAAACTTGTTAGCTTATATACATGCTAATAACTTTTGAAACAAAGAAACACGGGTCATACATTATTAGGCTTGATTGATCTTTTGATAATAAATCCATGTAGTTAGCAGAGATGTGAATTGTGGTTTTGCTTTGATTAGTTATAGGTGCCATAATATATAAGAGACAACGAAAAATCGCTATATTAAGACTGAACCCAGAACTGTACTGAGATGGTAATAGATCAAGAGGAAGGAAATGCAGAAAAGCAAATGGTCCTAGGCAATTTGAGGTTGTCCAATCTCTCCCTAAAGTCCAAACTTATTCCAGACTCAGCTGAAACACACACCAGACATCTACTCTCCCCACTGTTAACTAAGTAGTTAGTTGCATAATGCATAGTGGAAAACACCTCGTTTTCTCTGTTTTGAATGTTTGTTTGTTCTTGACTGCCTGCATCGCACCTCTTTTTTTCATATGGATCTTATAATGAAGTATAGTTTCGTCCTTGTTTTCATTCTAATAAGTAGAGGTAAAGAGAATTTCCCAGCAGTTTAGCAGTGAATCAATGATGTTACTATAGTGCAACAAGGTTTGCAAAATTTGAACCAATTGTAATTGTCCCGCAATACACTATTTAGTTTAGTATAAAGTGTTGTCAGTGTTATCAAAGAGGGCTATAATTGCGCAATAGCACGGTAGTGTAGTGGATTTTGAACAATCCACTATTTTCCCCAATGTACAACACTGCAGCGTAGTATTGGTTTAATGTGCAGCTCCATGAAAACAAAGAATGTATTTTATATACAACTTGCATGTAAAAGTATACTGACCCATTTCATTCAGTGTTCTAATGCAAATTCTTTTTGTGTTTTACTCTTTCTAGGGTCTTGAGAAACTTATTGTGGAGAAAGGTTGTTGCTAAATGGTGTGACAGAATGGTGTTCATGTCTGTTGACCATCAGAATGATTGCCAACAAGAGATCCATGAAAACTCAAGAGACATGTGTTTCCACATGCTTGCTGTTAACTTGGTTTTGGTTTCCATGAAAACTCAAGAAACCTTGTTATGGTTTTCATGTCCAAAATTGTTAGGCCCAACAAGCAAAACAATAATATAATTGAGAGGATTAAATATCCCCTGCACCACCCACTTAGTATTTACATAATTTAGCATTTAATTGTGGCTGATGGTACATTGTTTCTTACACATTAATATTTCTGATTATGCTGTATATTATGGGAGACAATTAGATATATGGGGAAAACTATTCTATATAGTTGGTCTATGTTTACTGAACTTACCTTAATTTGATAAATACATGAATGATAGGTAAATACATGAATGGCTTTGCCAAAGTCCTTTCAGTGCCTGTTTGCTTTTGCGTTGGCATGGTAAAAAACGTGCTTCTACCTTAAATCTTCAATTTGGAGCTTCTGAAAAATCATGTAAAATTGACATTCGGATGAGGTTTTTTGAATTCAAACGCCTCACCAAACGCACACTTAGTAGCTTAAAGCTCAGATTGACTTGATTGCAAGTTAGGTAGATGTATTGACACAATATTCGACTCTTTCAGTACAAACTGCCTAAAATAGAAACACAGCTGAAGGTCATAGAGGATGATCAAGAAAAAATGATTCTGTGAAAGTCTTGTAAAAAGCAGATGATGAGGTTAATTTTAATTATCATATAATATCATCTAATATAAACACATGCATAGTCAAAACATGTTTATAGTAACAAAACACAGACATAATTGTATTTCAAGACTTGCTGAAGGTAAAAGTCATGTTTGTGTACAATTTGATGGTTAATATTTAACAACCAAGTATAAAGGCATCAAGCCTTTGATATGTATGTTTTAGTGTCATAGTACATAGTATGAGAGTATAAGCTACCCTTCAAAAATTGTAAAACAAAAGAGTAAACAAAGTTACAATCAAATATATATATATATTTTTCCTTTACTTATATATCCTTTCCCTCACCTCTAATTTTCAGAAGAAGCCTTAACTTTTCCCTCTTTACCCTTTTAACTACTGTTTTGTTATTAACTTATTTCTTCAAATTGTAATCAAGGATCCATGCACTTTCATCAAGGAATGAAAGAAGTACCATCATGGACAGGAAAATGAGAAATCACTTGAGCATTGTTTGATCTATGTTGTTCCCCTTGATCAAAAGATATGAAAGAAGTATTATAATACTCAACAAATCCACTGTTTTTATGATTAACCACCTCATTAACAACTTGATCGCCGATTAGTTTTTGATCGGAAAATGATGACGAGTCTTTCATCAACGAACCACATTGTCTTGGTTGTGTTTGGTAGAAAACTTTGGAAACTACCAATTCTCCTTCTTTCTCCTCTTCATTGTTTCCAAGATGGTACTGATGCATAACCCAATTTGTTTTCTCTGGCTTTCTTTGCTTTCTGTAGTTAGTGTAAAGAACAAGGATTTTCTTATATCCTTTTAATTTGCCAATCACGTAAACCGGTCTCGTCTTACCTGTTTTGTGCCACCTTGTTTCACTTCCATCTGAATCTGTGTGCACTTTTCTTCTTTTTCTTGTTCCTGTTGTGTATGCTTTTGATGGCCTGTGAAAGAAATGTCTGATCAAGCCATCTTTGCTTACACCTACAACAAAATTAAATATGCGGCAGGTTATTGTAAGTGGCAAAGTGACCTCGCTATCAGGTCTGCTGAAGTTCAGTTTTTGTTGTTTTGATTCGTAAAAAAAAAAATAGAATACTAATAAATGAAAAATCGATTACGAAGAATTGACCTGGCAACTTCTCTGGGTGAGTGCAGCAGATTCCATTCTCTCCTTCAAGAGTAGGGATGAATTCATCGATCAAAGGGTGAAGCATTTGAATATCAGACCTCACTTTCGCTTCCAAATGTTCAAGAATCTCCTGATCAGTAGGATCAAACTTCACTCCAGCAGGTAATCCAGGTAACTCATGAATTCCAGCACCCTAAGATATTTATATTATTTGTTCATTAATCATTAAGCTAATATCATTAACAGTTTATAACATCACCAAAGAAAAAACATAATATAATAATTTCATTCATTCTTAACTAAAGAGTTATTATCTATGAAGTACAGACACCAGAATCACGACACTAACACTAACACGTCGACGCTAAAAAAAAAAAAAAAAAGTTAAACGTCATCATAATTGTTAGTGTTGATTACTGACACAGACATACTTTTTTCTAGAGGTGTTATAAATCTGAAGAATTACCTGATCTTGGCATTTGATATGATGACCACAAGTAGGACAAGTTCTGATTATGCTATCTTTGCGTCTCTCCATAAGAACACTATGATTATTCTCTTCAGGGTAACTACACCGAGTCATTTCCTTTGTTATTCTCTTCTCTACCTCTCTTATTCCATTTCTGTGTAAAACAGAAATGAAACAGAAGCCAAAAAAGATAGACCAAGAGAGAGATCTAGAGAGAGAGAGATAGCTTGAGTTAAGAGATGGATATTTAAAGTAGTAATATAAATAATAATAAGATGAAGAAAAGAAGAAAAAAACTTGTCTCTTCTAAAGGGTTGTTCCCCTCATGCCATTTCTTGTTGAGAGGTGGAAAGGAATTAAATTCTATGTTACTTTTTTTAGTATTGATATAATTTTTATAAGCTATAATATTGTAGTTAGTCTTTCATAATTCCTCTTACTAATGGAGTGAATAAGAGAGTGTGACACCTAAACATTCTAAATATAGAGACTGATATTAAAAATTAGAGACATAGAGTTAGTTGCACTGTGAGAGATAGAGAGAGAGAAGAATAAAAAAATATAAAAGATTGCTTGGATCTCAAGTAATGTAGTTGCTTTGTATATTTGTATGAAAACTTGTTGCGGAATAAATGTAGATTTTTTTGTCCTTTCTCAGAGTGACTAAAGGGTAGCTTTAATTAAGATTAAAATGTAGAATAAAACAAGTTTTAAGCTGAAAAGAAATAATTAAGAACATGGACGTATAGAATAGTTGAGTGGGATTTGAGCAACCTAATGTAGAACTTAGGTCTAATGTCAAACTGGAGTGTAGATAAAGTTAAAAAATATTCATACACCAGAAAACTATAAGGAGAAATTTGAATTGAAGAAAAGATTTTCAACCAACCATAACAATTTCATTCCTTCACGTGGACTTCTCATGCATAGCAAGAAACCTCTCTCTCTCTCACAGAATGTTACATCACTGATAGTTGCATTGTAGCATACAATCTACTTCTATTTGGCAGAAGCAAACACCACCATCTGTTGATAATATGTATTAGACTATAGTTGATGTATCAATATTTTAAAAATCGAAACAGTTCAATCGGTTGAATTGTTAACTGAGGTTATCTATGGTTCAGTTATTAGAAATGTTTGATCGTAGTTTCATTTTGATCGAGTAGTTTAAAGATGAATAAGTAGTCTGGTCGTTATAATTTAATCTTTTAAAGATGAACAAGATGTCGCGGATTCGAATCGACGTCTCTTATAGTCTGATGTCTCTGCACCACTACGCTATGTTGTATTAAGTGAAGGATTGACAAAATAACATATTGGAAAAGAGTCTCCAAGTCAATTATTTTTATGCTAAGATTCAAGTTCAATATTAGACAACTTGGTTAAGATGAGACTTTGTATCCATTATGAATTTAGCCTAATTTAAAGTGAAAGTACTGTCCTGTCCCCACATTTATTTATGAGCTGACGGTTATTTGCATTGACCAGTTACTACATTTGTGTAATGTAACTAAAAATAAATATAATTGTCTTATTTTCGAAAAATCAGATTAGTTGGATGTAAGAAAATTTTATTGCAATGCAGTAGAATTCAACTGATAACCTCAAGAAATTAGAGTTAGAATTCAGAATTATTTATGTATTTATATCTAAGGTGATTGAATCTACATTAAACTACTTTGATGAGCAGAAATTGGGGATGACTTTTTGTTAAAACTCAATAACTGAAAAGTTTGACAATGTGTTGAAGAAACTAAACAAAAAACATTTATGATATGAGATTACAGATTCAACTCTCTCACTAAGAATCACAACTAATTAATTTGGTGTGTACGGACAATATTAAATTTACATAATCTACATTGTTCATTTAATATGTTCAGAAACTCAGTTACTAAATTCACATAAGTGTATAGACAACATGTTTTCACACAAGATTTGAGAGGTGAAACTCAAATTCTTCTAGATTCTTCAGATGGAGGCATAATTCACAACAAAACTGAAGATGAATCAAATAAATTTAGTGTTGTTGATCGGTGTTTACAACAACAGTAGTGGTTGTATCAACAAAAATTAAATGGTAGTGAGTAAAATTATCTGATTCACGTGGAATATTGTGAGAATACAACTCATATGTAATTATATATAATAGTTACTATTTTAAGTAAAAAACAATTTGAATTAAAAATTGGTTTTATTCAATAATATAGAACAATAAAGTAAAAATAAGAAAATATCATTGATAGAGAATTATAGGGGTTAGGTTGAAATTATTATGATTACATGCATTCTAACTATTACTTAAAACATTCTAGTCGTCGATCCACATTATCACCTATTGCTCAATAATGTTATCTATGTTTGAAATACATCACGATATCAATCACATGATTTATTTAACGATATCTCAACCTAATAAATAACATGATAACATTAAGATTCAATAGTATATGTGAATACAAAATTTAGATATATCTCTGAAATTATGTTCCTCAGAAGACAGATGTTGGACCAGATGTACGGGACAACTTGTTAAATCAGGTTTCACACAACATGATAGCAATACGGAATTAAAGATAAAGCAATAAAGAACTCTAGAGAATTGGTAACACGGTTCAGTGCAAATCACACCTACATCTGGCAGGCATTCAACCCAAAATAAAGGAAATTTACTCTTCTATAGAATTAGTACAAAGTGTATTAGATGAAAAAGTCCCTTATTCAATGTCCCTCTTCTTAATTCTACATGTGTCTTTCTATTTAATACTCCCCCTAAATATGAGAACCTCATATCACTTTCTCTCAATCACTAATCCCAGTTGATCTACATCAATAAACTCAATGGTGAATTTTGAATTACAACTTAACTAAACAAACTACTATGTCTTATGATATGAATGAAGCAATAATATGATGTACAAGTAACAACAAACAAAAGAGTCAACAAAAACCCTAGCACAAGGAATCAATCCTAGCGCGTACACTTCAAACATGAGGCGAGAGTCTCCTTAAATAGCAATGTCATTTTGAGCATTTTCTCCTTAGATATTTGATCTGATTTCGTCCAGAATAATAGTTGATATTGTTGGATTTGATTTGTTCCACAAAAATTTCCAACAAAAGATATGATTTTTTTAATTCAAATCTCCATTTAAATTGATTTGATCTTCAAACAGCTGTAAAACAAATCAGAAAACATTGCTAAACAATCTGCAATAAATTTGATTAAAACAATCAAAAGCTAATGCGTAGAACACCTTCCATATTGGCATGCTGATAAGGGCCAGATGTGACACACATGTTGGGACATATGTTTCCACATGTGTCATTCTTCACAAAAATAGCTTAAACAAATCATGTTATTTTTCCTAATGCAGTCAATTCAAAAGGAACAATAATCTCCCCATTTAGCGAATTTTGGAAAAACAACATTCTTCAAAAACATACAAGATGTGCAACATAAGTTGAGCATTAAGCCCATGACACACAAGAACACAGAGCAAACAACAATATCAATAGAAATCAGAGTAGCAGCAACACAAATTCGTAGCATAGTTATAAGTCAATTGGTTACTACGCAATATTCAATGTTCCATAGCAGTCAGTCATGCAATCACACATTCAGTTAGCCATGCATGCACACATTCAGTAGTCAAGTCAGAATAAGCATATACTACTAACACAACCATATCAGCACACACAGTTCAGAGTCAGATGACAAGCCAAATGCTTCAGCTTGTGTGCATATACAAACTAGAATAGTTAGTACCAAACATATCAGTTAGTACAAATCACACCAGAGTCAACATCATATATTAGCACCATACAAAACTCTACACATCATTAGTTATTATTCAGAGTACACTATCATTACACTACCTCTACACATCATTACTCCCTCTTTTTTCTATAATTTGGCAAAGGTATTCCTCAGGAAAATACGCCATTCATCACAAAGGTCACTATGTTAGTACATGCACGCATCAGACTAGGAGTGGACAAACATCAGCAATCATGAGGATAAATGTTGAACATGATGCTGGTATCTGGACATTGTTATTGGCAAAAAAAACTAAGGCTATCAATCCATTATAGATCCAGAATAAGGAAACAAAACATGCCTAAATACAACGGCCAAACAAACTAAACAAAAATACCTAGAATGAACACCCTTCAGACTTGATCTTCTGACCATCCTATTAAATCAATAAAGGTAACACAGTCTTCATAAGCATCTGAGTTAGATTCGTGTTTTGCACAAATCTTTTCTTAAAGGACTTCATCTTGGTCCTTCAATTTATTGCTTAGATAAGTTTGTGGTTATATTCATCAATGAGTGGATGCTAATATTTTGAATCATGTGAGCTCGGTGACTCATACTCGCTCTCTTTGGACCAAACTTGAGGAGTTATATACAAGAAAGACGAGGAACAATAAGTTGTTATTGTTCAAGTAATTTATGTCATTGAGGTATAATGATGGTTTACCAATGACCGGTCACTTGAACACTTCCCAAGGGCTTCTAAATCAATTTTCGGCGATGAATCTGATTTTTAATGATGAAATTCACAGTTTGTGGCTTCTTGGTACTTTGCCTAATTCTTGAGAGACTTTTATAACATCCTTGTCTAACTTCGCTCTAAATGATATCATCTCGATAGGCTTGACTAAAAGTAGTGTGTTGAATGAGAAGTTGAGGCATAAGTATCAAGGTTCTACTTCACATTCCAAGGTGTTGGTTACCGAATCAAGGGGGATACATAAAATTAGGGGTTCAAGTAATCGCAGGACTTCACATGATAAATCACAAGGAGGCTCTAATAGATTGTCTCATATTAAGTATCATTATTATGGGGAAAAGTGACAATAAAGAGGTATTTTTGTAAGTTGAAAAGGGAAAATAAGAATAAGAGTACAACAACGACAAAAAGGGGTAACAGTAATAAAGATGTTGCTATTATTGATGATTTCGTTGTTATTTATGATTGTTGTGTAGATAATATCAATCTATCATGTGATGAGATGGGTTAGTTAGTTGATATTGGTGCTTCTACTCATGCAACCTTGAGACATGAGTTTTTTCAACTTATGAGACAAGTGACTTTGGAGTT